AAATGTTATAACTGTAAGGGGCATTATTCTCGCTGGAACTTGTGACTTACCCGCAAAAGCCCAATTTCTCAATATGTTGCAGTACAATGGTGAATTTGAGTGCAACCATTGCAAAGATAAGGGGGAATCTTTTACATCTAACAGCAGGTACTTCTCGCGCATATCCGTATAACAGATATCCGGTAATGAGAACATCAGCTGAAACTCTTGAAAATGCCAATCAAGCAAGATAAGCATCCAGTCAATGGTGTAAAAGGCCCTTGTGCTTTGTCCAAATTGATGCCCAATTTTATTCGCAATACAGCTATTGATTATATGCACTGTATCTTTCCTGGTGTAGTAAAAAAATTGCTACAATTTTGGTTTGATCCTAGCTTTTCTGGTGAGCCGTTTTCGCTGTGTGCATTGTCTGGGGTCGTAGATTCGCGATTAATTCGCATAAAACCACCCTAGTTTGTACCCAGAATGCCACGTACTGTATTGGATCTTTATCATTGGAAAACTTCAGAATTGAAGATGTGGTTCTTTTATTACTCTATAGTGATACTCGAAGAAATCATGAACCCGATTTACTTTCAATATTATTTACTTCTTGTAATCGGTATTTCATTTTTAAATTCGTCATACGTTACTGTAAAAAATGTCGAAGATGCTGAACGTATGTTACACGAATTTGTAAGAGAATGTCCAACGTTGTATGGTCTTCAATTCTACAGCATTAATATTCACCAAATTCTACATTTACCTGACTGTGTAAGACGGCTAGGACCACTCTGGGTCTACTCATGCTTTCCATACAAAGACATCAATGGTAAAATATTAAAACTAGTTCACGGTACAACTAACATAAAATCGCAAATAGCATCTGCACATATTTTTCTGATAAGAATGAAAAGAAAACTAGATCAGTTACCAGAAGGCCTAATCCGCGATTTCACCACCGACTTTAAACACCAGGTAAAAATACGTGAACGAATTGCTGTTGGTTGTTATAGTGTGGGCAGCTATAAACGGATTCTCAGACTCCTTCTATACATTCAGCAAGCCTTGATAAATTCAAATCTTCCGCTTGAGAATGTTCATACATATTTAAGACTGTTGAAGGACAGCAAACTATTCATTGGCAAAATGTACAATAGAGCAGAGTACGATCTCTTATCTATGAAAAAAACCGAGAGGAAAAGCTAGGAATAATTCACTGTTTCGTAAAAATTTCCGAGTGTGATTGTGGCGATCATTGCATATGTGAGGAACAGCATTTTGCGATTATTACGGAAATAGTAAAAGACGGTATATTCCACGTTCGTACAGATGTTGAACTTTAGGTCAGGCTGTCTCACTTGCACAAATGTCATCGAGGAAACGTAATCGTCGCTATACCAATTGCGTTTCTTAAATCAGTATGCATTCACATAAACGTTGATAATCTATCTGTTATTGGACAAGTAATTAATTCTGTAGAGCTGAAATAAAGCAGATATTAAGAAATAAGAGATCTTTGTTATATTCACATTCTTTTGATTGACTTGTATCTATTGACACATAATATAAAATATAATACAAAATATAATTATAAAACATAAAAACGAATTGCCTGCCGTGTTACTATGATTTAAATAATACATAAAAGGTCTGTATATATTCAGTAATCGTCATCATCATCATCTAAGTCGGTCCCTCATTACTGAGGATCGTGACCACATGAATCGTGGACCATCTGTCGCCACAATTCCCTGTCCTCAGCTCGGCGCATCGCCTCGTGGATGGGTCCCTGCGTGGTTTCCCTGACGGCATCGCCTTATCTGGTCGGGGATCGGCCTCTGCTTCTTCTTCCCTCGACCTGACCAACAATGATAAGTCTCTCCAAGCTGTCCGGCTCGCGTCTGGAGATGTGTTCCGAAGAACTTCAGAATACGCCTTAGGTAGATCGTAGACAGGCGAGTTTGAATTCCAAGCTCTTGCAGAATTGACGCGTTTGTGCAACGGGCCGTCCAAGGCACACCCAGCATTTTCCGCCAGCACCACATTTCGAGTGCATCTATTCTGCTCCTCAATCTTGCCTTTAGTGTCCATGTTTTAGCGGCATATAGGAATATTGAGAAAACCAAGGACTGGACTAATCGGACCTTGGTTTTCCTGCTCATGCCACGATTCCTCCAGATTTTGCCGAGCCGCCTCATAGCATCTTTTGCCATTTGGCTGCAGCGGCTTCCCCGTTGCAGCTTCCATTATTACTGATCATGGAGCCCAAGTATACGAAATCCGAAACCACCTCCAAATCACGGAGCTCGTGTGTGCGCTGCAGGGTCCCGGCACGATCTATGAAAATTAGTTTGGTCTTGCTTCTGTTTATGTGGAGTCCCAGTTGCACACTCTCGACCTCTACCTACGAAGCAGCTCAGCCAGCTCGCTTTCGGTTGCACCCAAAATCGTGGTGTCTTCCGCGAACCTGAGATTGCTGATCTTTCTTCCGGTTATTCAGACACCTCCTGTCCAGCCCTCCAGCACTCTGCGCATGATATACTCGCCGTAAAGGTTGAAAAGCTTCGGTGATAAGATGCAGCCCTGTTGCACTCCCCTTCCTGCGCTGAAGGGCCCCGAAGTGGCATCCTCCAGTCGGACTCTACATGTGCCATCCAAATACAGGTTTTGCACAAGAAGTATCAAGTGTTCAGGAACTCCCATCTCTCTCATCACCTCGAACATTCTCTTCCAGCTGACGCAGTCGAACGCCTTTGCATAGTCAATGAAACACATCACTATTGGCACTGGCGGTTCACGCCACCAATGATACATCCCTGCGCGATGCCTGCAATACCGGCAGTTCGCAGCAACGCCGCTAGGCGTCGCATCGCCGGGGCAGCTTCGCGAGTTCTAATTTCTGCACCGACAAGTATAAAGGGGGACCCCCTACGGGCTCGAGCAGATCTTCCCGGCGCTAATCGCCAAGCCAGCAATAGCGCTAGACGCTAAGCTGACACAGGGCGCGAGTCGCCCGGTTGCAGCGCTAGACGCTGACCGAAAATCCTACGGCGCGAGTCGCCCGGTTTACAGCGCTAGATGCTGACCGAAAATCCTACGGCGCGAGTCGCCCGGTTTACAGCGCTAGACGCTGACCGAAAACCTTCACGGCGCGAGTCGCCCGGCTACAGCGCAAGACGCTTGCCGAAATCACAGCGCGAGTCGCCCGGCTACAGCGCAAGACGCTTACCGATACTTACGGCGCCTGGTCGCCCGGCACAGGCGCAAGACGCCCGCCAACCACGGCGCTCGGTCGCCAGCCAATCACGGTGTTCGGTTCTCCTTTATAAAGGCGTGCGAAACCGGCACCCGAAAACAGTGCTGTGACTTCAGTCAGGCTGTGACTCGGGTCAGGCTGTGACTTCGACGGACGTACATTCGCGTGGCCGCCCCATCTTGGCGTCCCACGCTGCGGTTAGCAAGACCGACGAAAACAAAACGCCGCGGTTATTCCAAGAACGCTTTACCTCGCCTAAGAAGGATGAAGACCCAACCAAAAGGCGTCGCACTAAGCCCACGCCCCTGCACGCGATCACAGTAAGAAAGCGGGAGATTACCCTCTCGGATTCGCGTGCGGAAGTAACCAGCGTAACCAGTACGTCGCACGTGGCCGTTACCGGGACCGACGTACATTTCGCAAAGCGTCGCAAAACAAGCCCGACCGGGGTTTCCACGAGCAAAGAGAAACGGACTCGGGATGCTGCGACGCAGACAGACGCAAAACCTCTAATACGAGACGCGGCGGTTTCATCAACAGTAGGGACTCAGACGGCACCGGAAGAAGCCAAGGTCGACGCTACCACGCAGACGAAACAACGAGGTGGAAATCGTGTCAAGAACAAGTATAACAAAACACTTACACGACCACAACTGTAAATATGTGTAAATATAGTTTCTAAAAGATAAAGGCGATATATAACGGACTGCGTCGACTACCTTTATTCACCTTCTTGCGATTCACACCTTTTGGGCCATATCCTACTCACGCCCCAGTAGCGGATTAAGCTAGGTTAAGCAGTAGCAGACTAAGTTAGATATAAGGTAGAATACCGCTCTGCATAGAATAAAAGTAGTAGCGCCCATAGGCACATTAAAATTCTCTGCTCTTCTCAATCAGCTGTCGGACGTTGAGGATTTGTTCGCGTATGCTTTTTCCTTTGACGAAACCACCCTGCTCTTCTGAGATATGCCGGTCAATGTAATTTTCTAGTCTTGCCTTAATTATGCTCAAGAGTATCTTATTAGCATGTGACAACAATGATATTGTCCTATAATTTTCACATTTGCGGGTTGAACCTTTTTTGTGCAGAGATACAAGTATAGACTCAGACCAGTCATCCGGCCATCGTCCAGTACTCCAGACCTTCTGGCAGATCAAGTGGAGCATGTGCGTGCTCTCTCGGTTTAGGTTCTTGAGCATTTGGGCTGTGACTCTATCGCCTCCGCTAGTTTTATGTTTCAGTCTTGCTATGGCCCACTCTATCTCCGCAAGAAGAATGTTCGGCTCCCTCACGCCACATTCACTCGTTCTCAGCTCTTCTGTATCTTCCGTTGCCGCGTACAGACCTCGGCAGTATTCCTTCCATAGTTCTAGCACCTTGTATCGATCTGTGATGATAACTCTCGCATCATCCTCCAATGTCCAGCTCTTGATCTTAATATCTTTTGTCAGTGACTTGACTTTACGGAACATGTCTTTTGTGTGTGCTCTGTTGGATGACTCCTCGATCTCTTGACACACTCTGTCTACCTCTGCATTTTTGTCCTTACGGCAGAGTCTTTGGACAGTTCTGTGTAGCTCATGGTTGTGATTTCTATCATCTCCAGTGGTTAGACCATTCTCTTTTAAGGTCCTGCGGCGCAAGACGGCGGACCAGGTCTCCTGGCTCATCCAGTCAGGTCTACTACGCGGACCCCGGCGTTGTTTCACAATGGTCTCCGCAGAGTCTACTACGGCTGTTTTTAGTCTAACCCACATATCATTGGCTGATTCTGTTATCCGTCTCCATTTTTAGAAGCCTAGTCCCCATATCCCGCCTGAATTGCGATATTGCATCAGCGTGCATGTGCAGTGCCTTGTTGTTACTGGCTTTATGGACGACTTTGAGCCGGGCTTTAAATTCCGTAACCAGCAACTGATGGTCGCTTCCGCAGTCCGCCCCGGGTAATGTCTTGGTATTAGTAATGGACGAGCGCCATCTGGTGTCAATTAACACGTAATCAATTTGGTTTCGGTATGTACCTCTTGGTGACGTTCACGTATACAACCTTCGTGGGTGTTGCTTGAACCAAGTATTCATGATGGTGAATTGGTTACCTATGCAGAATTGGAGAAACAGTTTTCTCTCATTGTAAACCCCCAAACCGTACTTCCCTACTGTTTGGTTAAGGTGTGTATTGTGCGTAGTTTCTCCCACTTTTTCATTAAAATCGCCCAGCAGCACGGTGGTCTTCTTCCCCGGTCCCATATGGCAGACTGTCTCAAGTTTTGCGTAGAAATCAGATATTTCTTCCTCCGTACACTCGGTTGTAGGCGCATACACCTGGATGATGTTCAGGGTGTGCGGACGGGCACCAATTCTAATCCTGATCATTTTGTCACCAATCGCCTCATAGCCCAGTACACTGTCCTTCAGGTTTTTTGCAACAATAAACCCAACTCCATTGTTGTTCTTTTCACCGTTACCAGCAAGGAATATCATGTTTCCATTTCCAGTTTTGAAGTGTCCACTATCTCTGAAATGCGTTTCACTCAGGCCCAGTATTTCCACTCCGCATCTTTGCATTTCAGATTCCACTGTCTCTCGCTTCCCTGGTTGTAGCAGGCCGCGGACATTCCATGTGCCTATTTTTATGTGTTGATTTCGCTGTACTTTGGTTTGTTTACCACCAGTAGCCCAGTTTCCATAAGAAGCCTGGTGGGTCACCCTCCTGTGGCCGGTCGCCAATTTTACACCAGACAGCCCGGAACTATCTAGGCGCCGGGGGTCAACCGGATTACTCGACATATCATTTCTTTTATTGTCTGTATTCATGTGGTTTTCTTGGGATAATAGTCGTAGTGGTTTTCCATTGCCTCTACGCAAGGTTATTTAGAGGATGCTTGTCTCTCACGGTACCTGTAACCTTCGCCTGTTACTCGGCGGTGTTGCTTCACTGGTTTTGGTCCACTCCAGGTATTTTATTTCCCCGGTACCCTCTATTTCTAGCGGGCTTTCCCCTATTTGCCACCTGAGGAGGTGTCCGAGGGGGGACCAGCAACCCGCACTGTACCGCCGATACCCCCTCTTCCTCCACACATTCACCTGGAAAAGCGGTGGTCGTGGAAGGCGAGTTCCCCATTAGGAGGGAGGTTCGACTTGGTGACGTGTCCCGAAAATTCCGGGAACACGTGCACCCGGTAGCCACCGCCGCCTTCAGTAATCTTATACAACATTATATTTTGTTGAAATTTTGAAAATTTTACCTTAAATGTTCAAATTTGTTATTGCGACGTAATCCTTTTATAGCGGAATCTGACCTGCTTTTGGCACAAAGATACGCCATTTATCATATATTATTGCAGATGATGAATAAATTTTTCTCTTAATATTTTGGGGAACGTTTTACTTCTATAGTCTATAGGTCGGCAACATATAGACAATTAGGTTCTACAGAGGATACACGGAGGCTTACGAGAATAGAGTATACGCTCTATCGAAGTTTTAGAAAAAAGTATTTCAAAGGTTCTACAAAGGGTATACACGGAGGCTTACGGGAATAGATGCTTACGTCGAATTGTAGGGAGGGTGAACGGAGAGCACACATAAAACGCGTACGGAGAGTCTGCGGAGTGAGCGCGGAACATTAGGACGCCTACGGAGGGTACGTAAAGTCATCGCACAAGCCATAAATTGTAACGAGAGTAAATGGAGGTTCGATCATAGTCAGAGGAAGTTTTCGTGCTTAAAAGATCCGATAGAATTAGATAAAAAGTCTATATAATCCTATCGTGTTTTTGGTTCATAAATATCAGATAACAAATCTGATATTTTTCATAAATGTTTTATCATTTTTGAAGTGAAACTTCTTTAGGCACGGTAGTGAGTTCGATTCGCGACACGAAAAAGTGTAACAGAAGTGAAACTTCTTTGGTACGGTAGTAAGTTCGATTGTGCGACACGAAAAGTGTAACAAAAATTTGACCAATAGGCGTACGGCGTTGGCGAGACGGTTCTTCTTCTGGCACGGTAGTAAGTTCGATTATGCGACACGAAAAGTGTAACGACAATTCGACCAATAGGCGTACGAAATTAAACTTCTTTGGTACGGTAGTAAGTTCGATTGTGCGACACGGAAAGTGTAACGAAAATTCGACCAATAGGCGTACGAAATTAAACTTCTTTGGTACGGTAGTAAGTTCGATTGTGCGACACGGAAAGTGTAACAAAAATTCGACCAATAGGCGAACGAAATTAAACTTCTTTGGTACGGTAGTAAGTTCGATTGTGCGACACGAAAAGTGTAACGAAAATTTGACCAATAGGCGTACGGCGTTGGCGAGACGGTTCTTCTTCTGGCACGGTAGTAAGTTTGATTATGCGACACAAAAAGTGTAACGAAAATTCGACCAATAGGCGTACGAAATGAAACTTTTTTGGTACGGTAGTAAGTTTGATTGTGCGACACAAAAAAACGTTACGAAATAGTGTCACGAAAATTCGACCAACAGGCGTACAAAGTGAAACTCCTTTTGGATCGGTAAGTAAATTCGATTTTACGACTTAAAAACGCGTCACGAAAATTCGATCAGGCGTACGGCACTGGCGAGACGGATATAGTGAGAACTGCGTGTAACACTATGTATATTTTCGAGTTGCGGGCGGCTTGGAGTGACTAATTCCGTTGCATTGTTTTTGTATTAATTTCTGAAAAGTTATGGCAAAGCCTTGCCTTCAGAAGTTTCACTTCTAACGCGCGTGGCGACCACGCGTTCATTTTTTTTATAAATGTTCTATTATTTTTTACGATATTTAGCATTCCACACAACACAAAGCTCCGATTAAGCTCCCAGAGAGTTCAATTTGCTGAGCTCCCGGGGCACTTACCAAATTTGACAAAACAAGCTCCCAGGGAGTGCATTTTGCTGGAAAGAACAAGTTTCCCCGGCTAACATCCACGGCAGCAACCAGACTCCGGAGGTGGCTGGCCAGCACCCCTAAGTCACATTGAAGCGTTGGGGAGGGATCGACGTATCCGGACCGCCGTTTAAGAGTGCCGAGGGACCGCCGCAAAAACGAGGGGCCAGAGAACGCTCCCGCAGGATCTGCGATCGACCGTTCTGCGCGAGGATCTGTCGCGAACTCGCGAGCCCGCTCCTGATTGACCCGCGTTACCGACCCTTGAGTGGGGCGCGCCATCGATTCCGCTATCGAGCGAATTTTCACAAGCACCTCTTGGTCGTCCTCCAACGTGACACGTCAACGTTTGATTACACGCTTTCGATCGCGCCCGGCTATCGAGCCGCATCGTGGTGACGAAGTCAAGGCCTGTGACGACGGCATCCCGCAGCGCTCGAGGGAGAAGACTTTTCGGTGAGGTTGCCGTACACCCTTCGCGTGTGTAAAGCCACGACACCGCCTTCCTCGCGTCCTCGTTCGACTGCCGAAACCGTAGTGTTACTCGCCGACAAGGCGTATATTTAGCGTTAGTGATCGGCGTCGAGAGCGAGGGGCCCCAGGATAGTCTTGTTGGCTACAGAGATCGCGGATTAAAGTCATAGGCTCTTGAAGATCGCGGTAGGAACGCCGGTAACTAATGTCGAGATCGCAAATCCGCCGTTTCTTTTAGAGTGCATACAGACATTTGCGGGCCAATAAAGGTAAAATCATATGGAAATGCACGTTACTTTGCGAAGTTTATTGACAATAAGACGCAATATATGGAAGTTGTATTTTTAAAATCACGCGTAGTGACATTTTAACAGAATTTAAAAAATATAAGTTACGTGTCGAGAAAAAAACTGGTCGTAAGGTAATTAAATTACGTAGTGAAAATGCAAAGGAATATGCTAGTAAAGAGTTTAATGAGTATTTGGAAAGTCAAAGTATAAGAAGACAATGAAACAACCTAGCTTCCAAAGCGCGGATTCGCTCGCGGCTGGTCAGGGTTCGGAGTAGGCGCGGAGGAAAGACACACGACTCGGTTTTCTGGACAAATTAACAAAGATTTATTTTAATAAGATGCAGGCTGACATCGCGGACGGAACGGTAACAAAAATTTCTGCTAAGATATATACAGAGATTTGTACAATATAGTGACAGCGCGGGATATTTACAAAGGCTCGAGTGCCGGACCGCGTTACAGAGTTTCTCGGGCGGAGCCGGTGCTCCCGGTGTCGCGGAGCGAGGCGCGCCAAAATGGCGCGAAGCGCGGATGCGGCGATGAAATCGCGGAAATAGCACAAAGCGTGGACGCGGTGATGATAATCGCGGAGATTTCGCCCGGTGGCGAAAGGATCGGTCTAGCGCGAGTCCGGCCACCGAGAAGCGCTCGGTGGAGGCTAGGCGGTACCCGGCGAGAAACGCTCGGTAGAGACAAAAAAGCGCTCTGCTCCCGTTCGGGTAGTCTTGTGGAAGAGGAAGCTGGTCGTCTATCGAGACACACTCGGCGAAGACAGAGTATGCCAAAGGCTCTCTACCTTCGTTCGGACTAGCGGTAGATAGGTCGATGCGTGAATTCAGGATCGGTGCGGTCGGTGAGACGGATGATCAGGAAATCGCAAAATAGCGTTAACGACGCTCGTTTATATACCCGTAGCGACGGCGTTACGGAGTGGCGGGGGTAGCGACGGCAATCGCGAGCGCCGGGGCGGTGCGGCGGAACGGTCGGGGATTACGGCGTCCCGATGCCGCGATTGCGTTCGGCTGTCTTCGGTTGCCTTCGGCACCGCTTGGCGCGTCGAGGCGGTTGCCGCGGTAAGTCCGTTCGCGGACTTTCT